TCCAATTGCTCTGCAACAACAGAGTAATTCTGAAGCTTATAATTGTATAGCTGTGTTGATATGACATGACGTCAGAGAAGATATTGTTCTTGTAGTCTGTAGTTTTGTTATGCGTCTCCTGGTTTCAGGGAGGAGCAAAATATAAAATACACCTTAAAAGTATTGCCCGTACATATCTCAGGGTCAGTGTCTTGTGCTGTAAACTCTTAAAACTGTGATGACATTTTTGTTTCCAGGTAGTTCCACTCCTTTTTCTAAATTTTCCATGGTCTCATTGTCTGAGATGAGTTTGTGTGGGACGTAAATAAGCAGATGGACTCCAATAAGAGATGCAGAATGCAAATTGAATCACAATGCAACACACAAAACCACCGTTATGATAAATGAAAGAGAAAAAATCTTTATATCAGTGGAAAATGACTGTTTAATGAGATAATGAACAAATTCTGGGGTCATTTGTCTGGAACACATGCATGCTCTAAATGGTCTATATACTGTATATATACATTGTTTTTCATATGCTCATTCCACATGCACCATGATGATTCATCAATTACACAGTATTTCCTACAATAAGGTGCTATCAAATTAATTCCAACATCTATGCACATATTATAATTCCAGACCTGTATTCCCACAGGGGAGGTTTGCAAGCCTACCAATTGCTGACGACAAACTGTGACCAGTCATCCATGTTAGACTGACTACAGGTGCAGATATTGTTCCAAGCCCTGTCTATTATAACAAAATCAAAGAATAGCTGAAACCTACAAAACTTAGATAAAACATAGTTTCCACCAGCCTGCACACATTTTCCAATCAGGAAGGAGCGTAAACTGTATGACTGAGTAAAGACAGAACAACTGGTCATTAATAACTGCAGTTCTGCAGCAGACAACCTGGCAAATCACACTGGAGCACCAACTGTCACATGTTCTTGTAGCAACGCAACCATGGTTGGCAACAAGCATCTTACACTATTTATATGCAGAGCAATTTGCACTGAAAAGGCCAAGGTATTATGGTAGGGTCACGGAGAGCCTCTACAGAGAGAATTGGGGTGAGTAGGGCTGGGCGATATATACCCTCATCGCATTATAAAATTATATATAAAGGATGAGAAAATGACAAACTTAGACAAACTGTTGATACATTGCTTAAATAGCGCACATCAGCCTATCACATCACAGGAAAGGAGGCGACTCTAGACAATCACGCAGTAGTGTTTTTTAAGAATGGCTCATGTAAATCTATCAAACACAGCAAGGTTGGCTGAGTCAGAGTAGCACAGCCTGACCACATGCTACTGTTGTGGTAACCTTACTACACGCAAGTCACAGAGATGAGTGCTCCCTCACGGCCGTGGGAATAGGGGCTCTTTGAATAGAGCTGGATCTTATGGCTCTGTTCCTTTCATAGCATTCCTTTTTTTTTTTAAAACGAATCTGTGGTGTAATTAAGTGCTGAAAGCGCATCCAGTTTCAGGTCAGTCTGTTAGTTTGACCGAGGGCTCAGATACACAGTGGCAGCACTCAGCTATTCTCACAGCTGCACACTGCATTTCATTATGGTGCATGAGCTTTTAATTTCACCGTGTCATTTCATATTTCCTAACAATGATAACGCCAGTAAAATAAAAAATATATATATTTTCTTCTTTTTCATTTATGGCTAAATGATTTTAAGTAGAAAATAATAAATTCCCATTTTATTATCCTCACTGAACAGTGGTAGAAAAAGTACTGAGATTCTTACGTATGTAAAAGTAGCAATATCACAGTGTAAAAATGCTGTGTTATAAGTAAAAGTCATGTGTTCAAAATGTTAGTTACATAAAAGCACAAAAGTGCATCAAAATATACTTATTGTAGCAAATGTAAAAGTAGTCAAGATGGAGAATGGCACATTTCACATTAATGTATATTATTGATGCATGATTGCGTTCAGAGTGGAACTAACAAACACCAAGAAATAACTTGACTTGTATGAAAAAAAATGATCGTGATAACTTATTCTGCCATATCACCCAGCCCTGTGAATAAACTGTAAAACTCATTTGACAAAATGGAAGTCTTGCCCAATCATATTTACAATCGTTGCAACAGCTGCAATGTCTTAAAGCAGATCAAAACACTTCAGGTTTTCTTTTTTAATATATAAGAACAATGCCAAGATGTTTCCTGAGGATACAGGTCCTGTTGATCCTTGCGCCCAAATACATGTAGGGATTTAGGGCTGCAAATCTTCTTCACACTGGACAAATCCCAAGGTACTCAACCTTCCCCCAAGGCCCCGTCTCAACAAATACAGTAATCTCTCAGTTTTCTACTCTGCAAGCTCCGCATACTGCTATCCCCCTGTGGCCCTGGCCAACTATGATCTAATGCACAAGAGAAGGTTTAGATGCTCAGGAGAGCAGATTATTACCTCAGCCACTGCATAAACAGTGGTCACCATCTACAGTCATCACCCAAGGCCTGGATTACATCCAAGTGTGAGGTCACTGCTATGCGTGTCTGCACCTGCGTACCAAGGTTGTCCATGCCACGGTAACTTGGCCTAGCAAGCTCTAGATGCTGATGCTCTCTCCTTGTACTAAAGAAATATCCCTCCTGGTCCAGCATGTGATCAGAGGCATTTGAAGTGTTCACTTTGTCAGAATTTGTCTGTGTGTCACCCCCCCCAACACACTGAAACACACCGAAACACACCCAGCAAAGATCACTGCACCTGGAGTGTCGGGAAGTCAGCAAGCGCTACAATATTACTGGGGTGAGCTGTCAGTACCCATGACTTAACTAAATCCTCCTTATAATTGACAAAGCCATGTCATCACCAGTTGGCAGAATCCTCAGCCTTCGTTCTGTTCAGCTCAAGACTTCAAACGCTGCCTGACATTCCAAAAATCTGAGACATTTGAGGTATGATTGATGTAATGTGCCTCGGATTGGACATTTTACACTTTCGAAGGAGCCTGCCCGATTACTAATTTTTGTATTAAAGGCATAAACAGCTTCATTGTGAAACCAAAAGACAAGAAAATGGACATGCAGAACCACAACTCCTGTGCCTTGCCTTCTCTAACAGGGTGACAGAATAAGTGGGAAACAGATTAATAGATTTTGTGTGAACAACAGGAAGCGCATCAGTCTGACACGAGATGTGGTATTAGCTGCTCATATCCTTCATGCTAATTTCTAGAGAGTCCATCTGCTCTGAGTAATGCCAGAATGAATTTATAGCTGATAAAACCTGTATTATTTCATTTCTCTTCCCAAGGTTTAAATTAAGGCAATAGACAAGCCTGTGGTACAGTCTTGGAGAATTAAATAGGGTGCTGAATGAACAGGGAGGAGGGGGATATAATAAGTGTGGACAGGGAACAGTGAGCAGCAGATGAAATATGTGCTTGGAAAACATAATTATCAAAAATGGCTGTCATACACTCCTGTCGCACAGCAGTCCAGAGAACAAAACCCCACTACAGACTGTCAACCACAGATACAGCAGACTAAAGCATTCCAACAACAACTTTTCTTGATGCTCTATACATTCCATTTTCTTAGGAGGGGATTATGGGAACAAAGAAGCTATAAAAAGACATTTCACTCCGTTTTGCAGCAGCACTACAGGGCATGATAAAGTGTTAAAAGGTGAAAACTCACACTGATCGCTATTTCACCCATACTGCTTTATTCTACAGAGTGTTGTTCAGTCACTGTGCAGATGAAAGCTTTAAGGTCTGAATAATCTGCTCTGTTAAATAAAGGAAGCCCTGGACCTGCCATCTTCATAATCTCCCACTGACAGCCGGTGTTGATAAGCAGAAAAGATGCACAGTATGTACATTCTTCCATCATGGGTTTTCTTCCTATGTGTGCATTTGTTTGCTTGTTTGCATACTGACACAGAGAAATGAGCAATTTGCAACAATGTCTGTTTGTCCCATGTTTGTCAAGGTTTGTGTGTATGAATGTGAACATCTTGACAGTGTTCTCAAGCCTCCTGCTGTGTGTGACCTTCTGTGCATCATCTTGCAAAGGCAATGCATCGACCAATCATGTATAGGGGAATGATCAGGGCGTAAACGTCCACAGGAAGAAGACTCCTGTTTATCTTGTGAGTATGAGCATTCACTGCTATTCACTGTCAAATTTGGGCCACAGTTAACACACCATCATTATACAGCATGAATTTTCATTAGTAGTGGAATGTGAAACGGTGGATTTATCTATCAATGCCGACACGATGGTGGTAGACTTGGTGCAAAGGTAGAGCAGGCCACATCAGCAGCACGGCTAACAAAAACACAACGGAAAGTCAGGGGCTGGAAATGTAAAAGAAGCCACTCACATCACAACACCGCTGTATCACGCCTACAGCACTCCACCCAGCAACCTCTCAACCCCAACCAACGCCGCCCCGTACATTAAAATAGCAGGGAGTTGCGTTTTTGCCCGACTAATGTGAATTCATACCGTCAGACTCCGTCATGAGACAGCTTTTGCCTCGACCAGAAATATCGTCACATTTTATTATCGTGAGATCTCGTTGCACGAGATCTTGTCACACCCCTCTTAAATAACTGAGTCAGTGAATCTGGAGTCAAGGTATGATTGCACAGGAAAAGACACGTGAGGACGACTTCTGACATTGTTTTGTAGCTGTGTGTACGTGCCTATTAGTTGGACAACTGCTGCCAGATAAACTGCGGATGTGCACAAACCATCAGCTGTCTGCCATTTGTTTCATCTCTTTCAAGTCTCTAAAAAGATCTTAACATTATTTATTTAGGTTTGCAGTTGATGAGGACAGAAATGAAATATAGCTTTTGCGAAACACGTTAATATTGGAGCCACTACTAGATGGATACGTGGGTGGTCTGATGGTGTTGTTCAAAACTGGAAATTGAGAAGATATATAGATAGATGTATACATGCTGGGGTATGCTGGACAAGATGGAAGGGAAGGTGATACAAGAGGATAAGAGGGGAACTCACTGCAGTGAGCTTGGTAGGTAACTGCTTGTACAAGGCCAGGTGACTCAGAGCTCCATCACTTAATGAGTGTTGAACAGGCAGCCAGACACAAGACTCATTCATCCAACTCTGAGCTGCACTGTGACTGAGGAAAATACAGTTGTGAGGCATGACTACTCATCATCACACAACCTGTCTTGTACTCTAGCACTCTCTCTAACCCTATCTTTTTACTATCTAGTTGCAAAACAAATCTAAAATCTTAATATTTGAAATGTAATTTCAGCTCAAGGCTATGATTCAGTCTGGAAGATGCTTGCAAATAATATAAAATAAGATGTGCTGGACATAAATGAAAACTTTATCATCCAGTAATAATTAACATTCATGTGTGATTTATTGGTGATGATCCATTAACTGGAACTGATAATTAATGACTACTTGGCTGATCCGATGTGATTATTAAACTCTGATATTCAATCAGATCAATCAAGGATTTAAACAGCATGCAATTTATTTTACACTAAATTATAGTAGCTTTACTTTTCTATTCACTTGCCCCATCTGCACCACACTCAGTCGTTTCTGTGGACACCACGAATATGACACAGTTCAAGTCTGCTTTCTTAACCCCCCCCACTGACAGAGACAGTGATGAGCAGAGACGGCTGAATCATGTTTCGGATGGGACAGGCCTCCTGCGAAAGCTTTGATCACCCCTCGAAGATTGACATAGAGACTGATGGGCCCAAGTCAATCCTGCTGCTTATTCATCTCCCTGCAGCAGAAGAACAGGAGAGACAGACAGGAAGCAGGTTGAGAAACAGACTGCAGTAATCCAAATTACATAAAGCCCTAGTGAGATTGTACTGTAATCACTTTTAGTTGTTTCCATGTGGGAGTCTGGAAATACAGAGGTGGCTGGCAGCACAGGATTTTTAATGACACGTTTCATGGCTCAGATTTTAAAAATGCCATGTTAATTATGATGTTGCCATGTTTCCAAGTGATTCCATGTAATGAGAGAGAGAGAAACAGAAGCGGAGAGAAGGCACTGGTTCCACACACTATGACACATCTGTCATTTAAAAAAAAGGGTAGTTGTGATTAAGTTTCCCTGCCATAACCCTGGCCCTTGTCTAGGTGTTGTAGTGGCCAAAGTGCCTCTCTGGGCTCCACAGGGTTCTTGAGGGGGATCTAGACACACCGTGTTGTGCAGTGCTATACCAAAATCTTTGACTACTCTGTCTCCAGATGTTCATGTTTGCGTACGTGTGTATGGGAGTGTTTTTCTCATTAGAAAGGCTTCTATTTCAAGGCAAATGTCACCTTCATCATTCTATGTTGTAGCCTGCAAATTCTCCAGAGTGATAATAAAATAAAAGCCCATAATAAATGCCTATTGGAGCTATTAAAAGGAAAACATCAAATTAATGCAAACATGAATTATGGAGAAAATTAAGGTTCTGAAATGTCTTGAGTTTGGCCAAAAACAGCCTACTAGAGGAAATCCTGAATGTCAATTCAATGCAGAGCCCAAAGCATAAAGAATAGTCTACATTTATCCATTTAAATGCCATACGATAGTGGTCGCATATAGTTGGTAACTGTATTACAACCCCAAATCAGAAAAAGTTGGGACAGCATGTAAAATCAAAATTGAATCTGAAAATAGTGCTTATAAATCTTCTGTGTCCTGTATAACATTGAAAACAATACAGTAGCACATTATTTGATGTGATACCTCATCAATTTTATTCTTTGTTCAAAATAAACACTTTAATTCTGATGCCTGCAACACAACCCCATCCCCCCCCCCCAAAAAAAAAAGTTGGGACAGTAAAACATCTACCACAGTGTGATGTTGCCGTTTCTTTTCACAACACTTAAAAACATTTAGGGACAAAATGACACCAAGTGATTAAGTGTGTCAGGTGTCATTTTGTCTCATTCCTCCTGCAAACAAGTCCCAAGGTGCACAAGAGTTCTGGGTCTATGTTGACGCAATTTGCGTTTCAAAATGCGCCACACATTCTCTATTTGGGACAGGTTGAGACTGTTGGCAGGCCAGTCCAGTCCAGCACCCTTTTCCTGTACGAGGTTTGCATTGTCTTGATGAAATATACACGGACAACCCTGGAAAAGATGTCGTCTTGAAGGCAGCATGTGTTGCTCCAAAATCTGTGTAGTTCAGCATTAATGGAGCCATCACAGAAGTGTAAGTGACCTTTGCCAAGGCACTGACACAACCCCAGACCAGGACAGACCCTGGTTTCTGGACTTGTTACTGGTAACAGTCTGGATGGTTCTTTTTGTCTTTGGTCTGGACCACACGGCGTCCATTCATTCCAAAAGAGACATGAAATACTGATTTATCTGACCACAGTACACGTTTCCACTGTGTGATGGTCCGTCCCAGATGCCTCTGAGCCCAGAGCAGTCGACTGCGCTCCTGGCCACTGATGACATAGGGCTTCCTTTTGGCACAGCACAGTTTTAAGTGGTATTTATTGATGTAACTACATATTGTAGTGCCTGACAAAGGTGTGCCAAAGTAATCCTGAGCCCGTGTGGTTATATCGCTTATGGAAGAGAGAGGATTCTTGATGCAGTGCCGTCTGAGGAATCAGAGAGCATGGTCATCCAGCTTAGGCTTGCACCCTTGTTTTACCTCATTATTGACCCTGAAATGCAACCGTCCCTTTGCATTTCCAACTTTTTTTGGAATGCGTTACAGGTGTCAGAATTGAAATGAGTGTTTATTTTGAACAAAGAATAAAATTGATGAGGTGTCACATCAAATAATGTGCTGCTGTATTGTTTTCAATGTAATACAGGACACAGATGGTTTATGCATCACTATTTTCAGATTTAATTTTGATTTTACATACCGCCCCAGTGTTTTCTGATTTGGGGTTGTAGAATGTACACACAGTGCAGAATATTTGTGTGATTTAAAGCAGAGCTGGTCTGTTTTTGTTGTGACTAACGGAGGTATAGCATTGTGTGTGTGTGTGTGTGTGTGTGTGTGTGTGTGTGTGTGTGTGTGTGTGTGTGTGTGTGTGTATATATGTCAGAGATGAAAGAAGTGGTAGGTGAATGATGACAGAAGGGGCACGCTGAATAAAGACTGACTCCAAGTATCAGGATCGCTCCTTTCCCTCATCACTCACAGTCCACTTTCTCAACGTTACTCTACACAAAATGCCAGGTCTCTTCTTCCACACCTGAGCGCTTACCTTGAATGCATATTAATTTACTGTCTGGCACTGACTCACAGGATGAGATTGAGGGCCAAGGTGTCAAAAATAAGAGGGAGGTTTGCATGGAAAGCTTCATCTCTGTGTAAAACAGGCTTACCCTTAATAACAAATTGAACATTTTGGGTTACTCTTAGAGCAGCTGTTTGTCACTGAACCAACCAACAAAGGAACTAAGTTCTTTGTCAAAAAAGTAAAGAGAGGATACACCAAGGGCTAAAACTGTGTGTGAAAGGTGATTCCTTCTATGAATGATCTTACAATCTAGTACATTAATATTTATCAGCGTGAACTAAGCTCAAACTCTGGCAGGTACATAAAAAGTCAGCATCTGCTGTAGAGTTGTTTTGATCCAGTTTGTATGTTGGCTTCTTCAGATTGTGAACATTATTAAAATAATCAGCCGTCCACCACCCACCGATTTGTACATGTAGACATGCGAACAGCATCGTGCCACATCTTAGTCTTCAAAACTCAGCTCCAGTCTATTTAGTGCTGCAGTCTAACTGGCTATCACAGACCACCCAGGCTATGTCTAGTTGGGTTGTTTGGAAAAGCAATGGGCAAAACTGGAGACATCTAAAAATAGAGTCAACCTGTGGCACAAGTTGTGTACAGGCCAGAAGTCACAATCTTGGATGGACCAGTCTAGACAATGAGTTATTGAAGAAGCGGGTCAGTCTTATGGTGTGACGGAAGGGGCAAAAGCAGAAGCAGAGCAGCCCCCAACCACCAGAAGTTGTACATTTACATTTTATATTCTCACTGATCTCACTGATATGACAAACATTGAAAAAAGAAAAAAAAAAATCAATGAGATTCAGAGAAAATGTACAATCCTATAAATATTACTATGATGTTTTTGTGTTGCCATCTGGACACATTAGGGACAGAGAGCTGATAAGTCCTAATAGAGAGCAGGCAGCCTGCAGAATGTTTAAAGACACATCTCACTGCTTTTGAACAAATAAATAAGGGACATAAAGAGCTTAAAATACAGGTTTAGAAGTTCTGTTAATGAAAAGTGTTTTATAAAATCCCCTTTTGGAAACAGCTGCACAAAAGACTGAACACTGAATACTGCAGACTGATGAGAATTATATATTTTTAAAAAGCTAAAAGCCACACTTCAACTAATATATATGTACTGTAGTACTCTGCTGCAAAGGCTGAGGTAGGAGAAATCAATGACTGAACTGTGCTCACATGGGCACAAAATGTGAGCTAAAAATGATACCGCACTTAGACTATATCTGTGTAATTCACATGTCAGCTCACTGTACAAGATCTGCATACAGCAGACAACTGTTTTACATTTGTTTGAGGCACCACGTCAGTGTGACTTATAATGCAGAACATTGGAACAGCATCATAGTTTGGACACAACAAAACATATCCATGTTCTCTACAAAGCAAAATCTTCCTAATTGACTAAATGAAGACTTACCATGACTGCTACAGTATGTCACTAAACAAAATTTGACATCAGCATTAGACTGCTGAATTAATATGGCAAGACTTTTTAAACCATTAAGGTCTTAAAGAACATCTACTGAATCATTATCTTCAGTCAGTTCAGCATACTATTTACTGTACTTCAGAGGAGAACTACAGCCTATTTCCTGAGGGGCAAAACATTCAGATTATTAAAAAATGAGAATGAAAGAAAAACATCTGAAAGATTTTCTGCATCAATTTCATCCTGCCTTCTAAAAACAAATGGAAACAAAAGCAGACAAGTGGTGAGTGAACATATTTTAAATTAGCATTAATACAACCAATCAATTTGTTTTCCTCTCAACCATTTGCCAGAAAGTGCTCCGCTCAGTGACTTGGGGAGTTAGTTTAACACACCCAGAAACTTAAATCCACATATAATGAAGCAAAAAATGTGAAGTGCTTACATCTTTTGTTCATCACAAAACTGGGTTACAGGACACGCAACACACCAGATGGATGTGTGTTACAGCAGAATGGAGACGGGATCTGGGCTTCACTCTCTTTTCATT